CCTGGCCAGGAATCTAACTTGTGCTACAGTGGCTGCAGATTGTTTCATAATGCTGAGACTTAACCCCTTCTGCCACCAGGGAGGCCCCTGTGTTTTCATTTTTTAAAAAGGATCTTTTGGGGCCTCCCCGGTGGCGCAGCGGTTGAGCGCTGGGTTGCGAAGCTGCCCGCGGCCTCTGCGGCGCCAGTTCGATCCCCGGCTGCTTCCCGGCCACCAGAGGAGGGTCCCACATGGCGCGCAGACCTCTCCTGCCGCCCGCTGCTCCCCTCAGCAGTGTACTTCGGTCCTTCTGCCTGTTCTGCTCCCCGCTCTGGCTCTGGTGGATTCTCTCACCCTCCCGCGCTTCTGACTGTACCCAGTGCTTGTATAAACAAAACAAACAAATAAATAAATAAATAAATAAAAAGACTGTCACTTTAAAAAAAAAAAAAAAAGGATCTTTTGAAAAACAGAAGTTTTGAATTCAGATGAAGTCCAAATTTATCAATTTTAATAGTGTTTTTTTAAGATTTATTTCTATTTATGCATATAAGAATTGGGGTGTAATGGCCTCCCTAGTGGCACAAGGGGTTAATTCACAGCACTATGAAGCTGTCCACAGCCACTGCAGCACCAGTTCAAGCCCCGGCGAGGGAGGTAACCCACATGGCATAGCAGCTCTCTCTTGTCTCGCCAGCTGCTCCCCTCAGCAGTGTATTTCAGTAGACCTGCCTGTTCTGCTCCCCACTCTGTCTGTAATGAATCCTCTTACCTTCACACCTCTAGTCTGCAGCACAGCATTTGTATGAATAAATAAATAAATCTTTATTTTTTTAAAAAAAGATTTATTTATTTATGCAAGCACTGGGTACAGTAAGAAGCACAGGAGGGTGAGAGAATTCACCAGAGCAAGAGCAGGGAACAGAACAGGCAGAGCGATGAAACACACTGCTGAGGGGAGCAGTGGGCACGGCAGGAGAGGTCTGTCTCGCCATGTGGGACCTTCGCCAGTGGCTGGGGATCGAACCAGTACTGCAGAGGCTGCGGGCAGCTTTGCAGCCCAGTGCTCAACCGCTGCGCCACCAGGGGAGGCCCAAATAAATAAATCTTTAAAAGAAAAGAAAATAACTATGAACCTGTTTTCTTGTCTTCTTCCGTCTTTCCTGAACAATTCAGTCTAAAAGCCATTAGGTAGGGCATGTAGGAGTCTTGTAGGTAGAAGTAGTAACACTGCTCCATCGTAGAGTACTGGAGCCAGAAAAGGGTGAAGACTCTTCTGTTTCTGTGTGGGAGCAAGCACTGTGAGAGCCTGGGATGGGGTTTGGGCTTCCAACAGACATCGGTAGACAGGGAGGGAAGATGGGCAACAACAGCAACAAAAGATTGGGCATATATAAGAAGGGATTGATCAAATAAATAAACGTCACCATAAACAAGAGACCAAAATTAACTTTGCCATTAGTGGGACAAATCAAAATGGGTTGATAGAATCTGATAGAATGCAACTTGACCAACATCACTTCTGTTGTAATTATTGATAAAAAATGTATAACCTGAATCTAATCATGAGAAAGTATTAGAAATAGCAAATAAGGAACATTATGCAAAATAACAGGTCTGTCATCTTTTAAACTGTCAAGGTCTGAATGTCAAGGAAAGACAAAGAAACCATTCCATGTTAAAGAAGTCTAATGCAACATGACAACTAAATGCCAGTATGTGACTCCGACTGCATCCTTTTGTTCTAAAGGATATTTTAAGGACAATTAACAAAACTGAAACAGGGTCCATGATTATAAGGCAGTAATGTATCAAATATTAATTGCCTGATTCTAGTGCCTCTATTGTGATACCTAGAGGGCCCTACTAGGTAGAAATCATATACTGTAATATTCAGAGTTGATGAGAAACCGTATTATCAACTTATTCTCAAATGGCTCAGAGAGAAAAAAAATTATTGTACTATTCTTTTATCTTTCTTTTATGTTTGACATGTATTTTAAAAAATATTAATAATTTAATTAAGCACAAAAATCCACTGAGAATTAAAGAAATCTCTGCTCTCACTATTTATATTCAGCATTGCTTCTAAGATTTTATTTGGTACAATAAAGAAAGAAAAATAAATAAGAAGCATACATTTTAGAAAGGAAGAACTAACACTCTCATTTTTCATAAATAACATGATCATTTATACAGAAAAATCCTGTGATCTACAAAAAAAATAAACCATTAGAACTAAAAAGTGGGTTTAGCAAGGATACAGGATACAAAATCAATACTAAAAGTCAACTATATATATACGTTAACAAAAATAATCAGAAAGTGAAATTTTAGAAAACCATTTAGAATAACATCAAAAATATGCAATGGTGATGAATTTGACAAATAGATTCGCAAAAACTATACAATGAAAACTACAAGATGTTGCTGAAAGAAATTAAAGACCTAAATAACATAGGTAGGGCCTCCCCTGTTGGCGCAGTGGTTGAGCTCTGGGCTGTGAAGCTGCCCACAGCTTCTGCAGCACCGCTTAGATCCCCGGCCACCGGCAAGGGTCCCGCATGGCGCGCAGACCTCTCCTGCCGCCCGCTGCTCCCCTCAGCAGTGTACTTCGTCAGTCTACCTGTTCTGTTCCCCGCTCTGGCTCTGGTGAATTCTCTCACCCTCCCACGCTTCTGACTGTACCCAGTGCTGTATAAATAAATAAATAATACTTTATAAATAAATAAATAACATAGGTATATGTATTTAGACAAATGTTGAGAATACTCAACAATTTTTTTTTTTAAATAGAGGCATGTTTTTATTTATTTATTTGTTTGTTTGTTTTGTTTATACATGCACTGGGTACAGTCAGAAGCACGGGAGGGTGAGAGAATTCACCAGAGCCAGAGCGGGGAGCAGAGCAGGCAGAAGGACCGAAGCACACTGCTGAGGGGAGCAGCGGGCGGCAGGAGAGGTCTGTGCGCCATGCGGGACCCTCCTCCGGTGACCGGGGAGCAGCCGGGGATTGAACCGGCGCCGTAGAGGCCGCGGGCAGCTTCGCAACCCAGCGCTCTACCGCTGCGCCCCCGGGGAGGCCCGAATACTCAACAATATTAACACATCATTTCCCCTCAAGCTGATCAATAAATTCAACTCTGCATATTTTTTTCTTTACTTAGTGTCGCCTCTCAGGGCAGCAGTGTTGGAAGTGGCACGGGATGAGGGAAAGATTACTCAAACTCCATGTGGAGCAATGAGAAGCCTAGAGGGGCTACCCCAGAAGTAATGTGCAGCCCCCATCCAAAGACAGTCTCGTATTTATTAACACAGAGTACAAAGGTGGGGCAAATAAGCTGGGAGTGTACATGCGTGGGTGATGGGATTAGGGATGTAAGCTAGGGTGGAGTGACTCTAGCTTCTGCCTGGGCTCTTGCCTGGGGGGCTCCATTATTCCTGCCAGTCTAAGCATATCATCTGTGTTCTAATATCTGCCTGTTATGATCAGCAGATACTGGTTTTCCAGTATGTTACTCATACCAGGACATTTGCCTTGGTGAGAGGCCCCCTGCAAGACCCCACTCTAGCTGACTAGCAGGTACTCTGGGCACCAAGTATCTCTGAGAACTGGGGAGACTGGAGATTCCACAATTTAGAAAATTAGAAGCTGATTCTAAAATGTATATGGAAATGCCTAGAACCTAGGACCAAAACAACTTTGAAAAGAACTAAGTTGGAGGGTTTATACTGCCTGTTCTTAAGAAATCAGTGCAGTTACAGAAATCAAGTAGTATTGGTGTAAATATGGGTCAAGAGACCAATAGGGCCTCCCTGGGGGCGCAAGGGGTTGGGCACCGCACTATGAAGCAATCCGCAGCCTCTCTGCAGCACAAGTTGGATCCCCCGCCGGCCAAGGAGCTACCCACATGGCACAGCAGACCTCCCCTGACGCACCCGCTGCTCCCCTAAGCAGTGTATTTTAGTCAATCTGCCTGCTCTGTTCCCTGCGCTGTCTGGTGAATCCTCTCACCCCCCTCATCTGTGGCCTGTACCCCAGTTCTTGTATGCATAAATAAATAAATCTTTAAAAAAGAGAGAGAGAGAGACCAATAAAATGGATATAGTGTTTACCATGGACCCACACATATATGGCCAATTGATTTTCAGCAGATACCAATGTAATTCAAATAAGGGAAAGGATAAACTGTTCAGCAAAAGGGTCTAAAACAAAATGTAAATTAAACAAAATTTGCTGGTTACTTTTACATTATATACAAAAATTAACTCAAAATGTCTAAATGGATGACACACATAAATATAAGAATGCAGACCCTAAAGGATCACTTGTATTCCAGACATTGCTTCCTTAACTTCACTGTGGAGTAACAGTCCACAATTTCTGCTTCACAGTCAGGATCCATCACCCCAGCTAACTCAGACCTACCTTCTTCACTTCTTGATTCAAAGACCTTAACGGTCCAGAGTGACTAGGCAGCAACCTTAACTTCCTGTAATGGAATGATTATATCTCTTGGTGAAAGCATTTCTCCCTTTAGAATTAAAACCTTAGGCCTCCCTGGTGGCGCAAGAGGTTAAGCGCTGCACTATGAAGCGATCCGAAGCCTCTGCAGCATGAGTTGGATCTCCAGCCGGCCAGTGAGCAGCCCACATGGCAAAGCAGACCTCTCCTGTCTCCCCTCAGCAGTGTATTTAGTCAGTCTGCCTGTTCTGTTCCCCACTCTGCCTCTGGTGGATCCTCTCACCCTCCCGCATATCTGGCCTGTACCCCAGCTCTTGAATGCATAAATAAATAGATCTTTAAAAAAAATAGAATTAAACTTCTAGGTCAGCAGAGCATATGGAGAGGGAGCAAAAATTTTGCTAGTGTGTAACTAGTGGTAATATTGAATGATGCCTCTCCCATTTTTACCCCTGGATTGCTAGACCTCTGAATCCTGGCTATTGGAAAAAAAGCAATTTCATGTCAGATGGAAATTCAGTTCAGGTATCAAGGAATAAAACCATGTCTCCTACAGCAGCTATAATTGGAATCAACTTCTGATTAAGATGATGATGATCTACTATCAATATCCAAGATCCATCTGTCTTCTGCTAATCGAAATAGGTAAGTTCAATGGATTATGCATTCTGAAACTGGAGAAATAAACATAGAATGGATTCAGAGACCCAATGGGTCTACGCTGAGGAGGATCTGAACTAAAATTCCATTGACCATCTGACCCCCAAAAGTCCCTACTCCAACTGGTGGGCCACAGTGACATATTGGGCCTCCTAGAGCTAGTATTAGCCACTCAGTAGTCCCCCAAAAGCCTGATTATTTCCTTTTCTGAAATTCAGTTGCCCTGGTAAAAGGTTATATCCTTTGAAAAATTTATAACCATGTAAGTTTTTGATAGTGTGCTGGGGTCCTACCCAAGAGGACCTAACCTCCCCTTCATTCAAGAGTTCTTATTCCTTGGGCCTCCCCAGTGGCGCAGCGGTTGAGTGCTGGGTGCGAAGCTGCCCGCAGCCTCTGCAGCGCCTGTTCGATCTCCCGCCACTGGGCAAGGGTCCCACATGGTGCGCAGACCTCTCCTGTCGCCCACTGCTCCCCTCAGCAGTGTACTTCGTCAGTCTGCCTGTTCTGTTCCCCGCTCTGGCTCTGGTGAATTCTTTTACTCTCCCACGCTTCTGACTGTACCCAGTGCTTGTATAAATCAATCAATCAATCAATCAATCTTTAAAAAAAAAAAGAGTTCTTATTCCTTAAAGTATCTCAAATCTGGGGATTGACTAAGGGTTAGTAACTCTTTTCCTATAATTCAGGTTTTGTTTGCCTAAAACTTTTCTCATACAGATGCAGTAATAACTTTATTGGGCTTCCTATTTCACATCTAGAAATATCACGATCAACCAACATTATAGGTCTATGAATATCAGGCTATTGTGATTGCTGGTTTGTTTTTTATAAAGATTTATTTATTTATGCATACAAGAACTGGAGTATAGGCCAGGGGTGTGGGATGTGACAGGATTCACCAGAGACAGCGCAGGGAGCAAAACAGGCAGATCTATTGAAATACACTGCTGAGGGGAGCAGCAGACAAGACAGGGGAGATCTGCGGCACCATGTCGGTTAGCATCCTGCCCAGGGATTGAACTCATGTTGCAGTGGCTGGCGTTAGCTTGATAGGGCTTTGTCTTTAACCCCGCACCACCAGGGATTGCTGTTTTGACTCTGCTGTCCATTATGATAAGCATGCCTACCATGGTTTCGGTGGCTGGGTGTTGCTACTTGGTCCTTGGATTCAATCCAACACTCAACATTGGGGTTTTTAAGACTTGTCCAAGCTGATAAATGTAAATGTAATTTATTCATTTTAACTGCTGTATAGTAGTCCATTTTCATGCTGAGGGATAGTTTCCAATAAAGTATTGTGTCCCACTGTGGTTTTGATTTGCCTGATCAAGAAATGGGCAGAAGAGGTAAACAGATACTTCTCCAAGGAAGATATGCAGATGTATACAGATGGTCAACAGGCACGTGAAAAAATGCTCATCATACTTATCATCAGGGAAATGCAAAATCACAGTGGGATACCATTTCACACCTGTGAAAATGGCTCATATCCAAATGATACAAAAGAAACAAGTAACAAGTTTTGGTGAGGATGGGAAGAAAAAGGAACCCTGTCAAACTATTGGTGGAAATGTAGACTGGTCCAGTCCCTATGGAAAACATTATAGAGGTTTCTCAAAATATTAAAAAAAAATCTGCCATTTGATCCAGCATTTCCTTTCCTAGGTATCTATATGAAGAATACAAAAACACTAATTTGAAGGGATAAAACTACTCCTATGTTCATTTTAGCCCTATTTACAACAGCCAAGTTATGGAAACAATCTAAGTGCCAAGGACCAATGAGTAGATTAAGATGTATAGATTTATAATGGAATACTACTCAGCTATAAAAACAGCAAAAAAAATTGTCTCAAAAGATGAACCCTTGTCCCTTTAACATGAAAGGAACTAGAGGGGATAATGCCAAGTGAAATAAGTCAGAAGGAGAAAGACAAATATATTCCAAATACATGTGGAATATAGAGAAATAAAACAAAAGGCCAGATAAAACCAAACCACTCACAAACTCTTGAAATCTAACTATAGAACTGAGGATATCAGAGGAGTAGAGGGAGTGTGAACAGTAAAGTGAGGAAGGGGCCCAATGAGCTACAATGGAGGACTATGGGTGCCTTGGTGGGGGGTGTGGTATGTAACATACATCTGAAGAAGTGTGATGCTTTACTTCTGAATTATATACAGTGTTGTAAATCAATGTTACCTCAAGAAAAAATTAAAAGAAAAAAGGACCATTTAAATTACTAAAATCAGGAATGAAAGAGGACATTGCCATCAGCCTTACAGAAGTAAAAAGGACTATAAGGGAATTTTATTATAAAATCATATTCCAACAATTTAGATCATTTAGAAGAAATGGAACAATTCCCAGAAAGATGCAAACCACAGAAACTAATTCAAGAAGAAATATTCAATCTGAATAGACCAATCATATATGATTAAATTAGTGGTAAGAAAAAAAAAACTTCCCACAAAGAAATTTCCAGAACCATATGGTTTCATAGGTGAATTCTACCAAACATTGAAAAAAAAAATTGCCACTAATTCTTCACAAAAACTTCCAAAAGATAAAAGAGGAGGCAACACTTCTCAGTTTACTCTAAGATCAATTTACCCTGACACCAAATTCTAGATTCCCTGATACTAGAGAGAAAAATCATAAGGCAATAAAACTACAGACCAGCATCTCATATATATGTATGTGTGTGTATAAATATACATCTAGATAGATAGATAGAATCTTTAACAAATTGGAAAAAAATACAGCAATATATAAAAAAGATTATGTGCCATGACCAAGGGGGATTTATCCTAAAAATGCACGATTGATTTAATATAAGAAAATCAATGTAATACTCCATATTAATATAAGAAAGGACAAAATCACAATATCAGTTCAACAGACAAAACATTTGATAAAATTGGGCCTCCCCACTGGCACAGCAGACTGACTGCAGGGCTGTGAAGCTGTTCGCAGTCTCTGCAGCACAAGTTCGATTCCCAGCTGGCCAGGGACATGGCACAGCAGACCTCTCCTGTCTCACCCGCTGCTCTCCTCAGCAGTATATATTAGTAGATCCACCTGTTCTGCTTCCCACTCTGTCTCTGGTGAATCCTCTCATCCCCTGCACCTCTGGCCTACACCCCATACATTAAAAAAATTGCCCACAGAGGAACCCCAGTTCTTCCATGCATAGATAAATATTTTTTTAAAGATTTATTTATTTATACAAGAACCAAGATACAGGCCAGATGCGCAGGAGGGTGAGAGGATTCATCAGAGACAGAGCGGGGAACAGAACAGGCAGACTGACTGAAATACACTGCTGAGGGGAGCAGCGGGTGAAACAGGAGAGGTCTGCCTCGCCATGTGGGACTCTTGCAGGCCTGCCGGGATGGAACCCGCGCTGCAGCGGCTGCGGACAGCATCATAGTGCAGCGCTCAACTGCCTGTACCACCAGGGAGGCCCTCTTCCATGCATAAATTAAATAAATAAATAAATAAATAAATAGAATTTCATTTATAATAGCATCAATAAGAAAAAAATACTTACAAATAAATTTAACAAAAGTAAAAGATTTGTACACTGAAATAGCCTGTGAACTCGTATCTCATAGCATATACAAAAGTTATCTCGTGATTTTTGGATCAAAGACCTAAATTTAGGAGCTAAAATTATTTAAAATATTTCAGATCTCAGAAGAAAATAGAGGAGAAAATCTTTGTGATCTTAGATTAAATAGTGGTTTCTTTCTTTTTTTTCCTTTTTGTATAAAAGAACTGGGGTGTAGGCCAGAGGTGCAGGGGGTGAGAGGATTCACCAGAGGCAGAGTGGGGAGCAGAACAGCAGACTGACTGAAATACACTGCTGAGGGGAGCAGCAGGCGAGACAGGAGAGGTCTGCTGCACCATATGTAGGTCAGCTCCCTGGCCAGGTATAGAACTCAGGTAATAGCAGTGATAGCACCGAGACTTCATGGCTAGGCCACCAGGGAGGCCCTAAATAGTGGTTTCTTAGAGTAAATATGAACACTAAAAATAAGAAAAGATCAATTTCTTCAAAGGACATGATCAGAAAGTGAAAAGACAACTCAGAATGGGAAAAGATATTTGCAAAACCGTTTCTCTGATGAATCTAGTAATTACAATATGCACAAAGGATTTAACATACAAATGGCCGATAAACACATGAGATGATTTTCTACATTAATCATTAGGAAAACGGAAATCAAAACCACTGTGTGATACCACTTCATCCACTAGGAAGGCTAGATAGAGTAAGATGGACAATGAAATTGTTGGTGTGAAAACCCCTGAAAGCAGACCTCAGACCTATGCCTTTCCAGGAGGAAGGCAAGAGGGAGTGGAGGAGGGGGGATCAAGGGGAGCACAATGGACTTTGGTGGAGAACGACAGGTGCTTCAATGGTGGGAGTGACATGATGACTACACCTGAGGTGGGAACCCTACACTGTCAAAGCGCTGGTAAGAATGTAGGAAACAACAACAATAAATAAAGAATAAATAAATAAAACTTTTTTCAGACCCCCCCTCCTAAAAAAAAAGTTAGTGTGAGGATATGGAGAAATTGGAAATTGCTGGTAGGAATGTAAAATGATGCAGTTGCTTTAGAAAAGTTTGTCAGTTTCTCAAAATGGTAAACATGGCTTACCATATGACTCAGCAATTCCATTCCTTAGTATCTATCATGAGAATGGAGAACAATGTTCACATAAAGACTTGAATATGAATGTTCAAAGCAAATTACAATATGCACAAAGCAAATTACTCATAATAGCTCCAAAATGGAAACAACGCAAGTGTCCATTAACTAAGGAAAGGTATATCCAGTCAATAAGTTAACCAATTAAAAAAGGAATAAAGTACTGATATATACAACATGAATAAGCCTTGAAAACATAATGCATAAGCAAAAGAAGTCAGACACAAAAGGTCACATATAATTCCATTTATATAAAATGACT